TATATATATATATATATATATATATATATATATATATATATATATATATATATATATATATATATATATATATATATATAGATATAGATATTAGATATATAAGATATATAGATATTATATATATAGATATATATATATATATATATATTATATTATATATATTTATATATATATATATATATATATATATATATATATATATATATATAATATATATTTAGATATATATTTAGATATATATATTATATATATATATATATATGTATATATATACATATATATATATATATACATATATACGTCCGTCTTAATCTAAAATATATATACATATACATATACATACATATTCATATACATACGAGTAAAACATTATTTATAAATAAATAAGCTTAAGATGACTAACGCTTGATCATAGGAATAAAAATCATGTTTGTGTTGATTGTGGTTTGATATTTTAATAATCACGTAAGATTTTTATAAGATAATAATCATGGAAGTTATATAATTTCGCAATAGCAATATTTGGTCGCATATATTGGATCAACGTTGGGTTTAGATCGTAAAACAATCAAATTTTTGCGATGTTTTTACATACATTGGAAAAACGTTGATTTATATACATTGAATCAATGTCGAGATATATATACATTGGATCAATGTTGGGTTTAGATCGTAAAAACAATCAACTTTTTGGAATTTTTTTACATACATTGGACCAATTTAAATTTACCAGATGTGTTTTAGTTCCGTTGGTAATAATTTTATTATTAACCAAATGACATTGGATCAACATTGGTTTTGCATTGGAAAAAAGAGCCAACGTTTGCGATGGTTTTACATACATTGGCCAAATGTAAGTGTGCTAGCTGGGTAAGCTAGGAACAAATCAACTGGAATCAAAACTGTTGTTGATGAACTTAAAACTGATTTAAAATTCATTTTCATAAATACAATGATAATGCTTGCCTGGAAATTGCAATGATTCTCAAACCCCGTTTTAGATTAAAAAAATTTAAGAAACAGATCATGGCGTGTTTTAGGAAGTTTTATATCAAGGGTACTACTGCTTTCATTTGGATTATCGATACTCAAAATGAAAATGGTAGTACCCTTGATATAAAATTTGCTTGCTTGTTGTAAATGATCACTTAAAACAAGCGAAGATAATTTCGTTAAAGACTCCGATCATAATGATCCAATCAAAAAAGAAAACATGGGCATGTATATGTTATTAGAGAAAATGGGTATAAATGAAAATGCTTCAAAGAAATGTGAAAACAAAAAAAGTATAAGAGTACAAATTTTATAAGAAAAACTCAAAATTTGAAAGGAAAATGGAACGAATAAAAAATATCTAAATAAAATTGTAATTTTTTTTTTATTTATTACAAATATAATTAAAATTGATGTTAATTTTCAAATTAATTATTATGTTGCATTCAGCCCTGTTAATAGAAATTTATTTACAGGTTTGTTTGCACACCAGAATTGCTTTAGACAAAATTATATTATTTATATTATGGAAAGATTGCTGCAAGCGGGCACAAGCTATATACAGACAGGCCGTGTCTTCCTGTAGTTACGGGTCTGGTTGCATTTAATATTTTTATTTTTCCATGCAAAAAATAATTATTTATCAACTATAAATTTTTATTTACAAGTTGAATGAGTATTCTTTTTTTCTTACTTGATTAAAGATTTAAAATATTAGTTTAAACTTTAAATTGATTCATAGTCTTGATTCAACATAGATGAAGTCAACTTCGACTTTAACCTATCAATATTACTAAAAAATGAATGCTCTTATAAGTGGTGGGGTGTTTACAATTACACCTGCTCCAATAAAGACACTAACAAGTTGGATTCGGCAAGTTTTTCAATGAAAATTTTGTGCGCACCTCTTTCATCCGTAAAGAGTGAACCTCTATTCAGACAACGGCAAACATAGTTTAAGCCAAAAGAAACAGGCTGTTGCCTGAGCATGAAGAACAGATTACGTTTTTAAATTATAGTTTGCCTGATTTCTAACAATGGATAATTAATTTAAGCGTAATAAACTAATAAGTATAATAAAAACAACCTATCTCATTTACTATAATTTATGGTAATTACTAAATGGTAATTTATTATAACACAAAGTACAAACTAATGTAATGTTCAACTACTAACTTGTAATTAGTAATTACTAGCTAGCTAGTTATCTTTTTTTCATGTATTATTAAATTTGTTCAAACAAAGTATTGCTACATCTTAAAATCCTATGACTTTGCCTAATTAAAAAAAAAACTTTGATGATTTGATATAGTAAAATACCTTGTGCACTAAAATACTTATAAATGCAGTACATATATTTTACTACATGCAGTGCATATAATAATTGTAGTAAAATTTAGAAAAATGTTTTTCAGCAATTAATATCATCCCTAGATAGCTGGATCTGCAAGATAGCAAATTTTACCTTTAAGAGTGCAAAAGCTTCGGCTCCGGCCGAAGCTTCGGCTTTGAATGACTTCAGCAAAAGCGGAAGCTTTGGCAAAATCTTAGCTTCGGTACATACCTAATTTTTATATATAACTTATTTTAAAGAAAAATAAGACATTCAAAACATTGTTTTTAAACAGTTTTGGTAAAATATAGTTAATTACTTTTGTGTTAAAAAAAAATAATAATAATCCAAAACACTGCTTATAACCAAAGCCTTTTTAACTAAATACATTTTTGATGAAAATGGCATAAATTTTAGATTGCTTGCGCAAACCCCTGATTTCATTAGACTTTGTTAAATAAAATAATAGATTACACTGGTCAACAGCTGTTTTGGTACCAGGGTATTTGCAAGGATATTAGTTGATTTTACATGAATTTGCTTATCAGTTCAAATTTTTAAGATATATCATTCAAGTAAAATATACATTACCCTATTTTCAGTAAAATCCATGGATCAAATCAAGAGGGTAAACATGGAATTTGGATTATTATATTATACAAAAAATATAATTATGTACCATATTACATTTTATTATATACAAAAATAAAAGAAAAAAACATGTATGAAACAAACTATAGTCACTGAACAATCCAAAAGCTTTTTTTCCGTGACATTGTTGAATGTCTTTTTTTAGATTCCAGCAGCAATTTGTCATTGTGTGTGTGTCTGATCTTCATTGGTAGCAGTCTTCCATAGTTTTAATATCTTGGTGAAATCTTTTACCTCGCTCCTCACTCATGTCTCCTAAATTTTCAGGAAAACAGGTTAAACGGCTGTGTAAACAGAACACCTTAATAATCATATTACACCCAAGGGATTCAGAACTGCTGTGTATCTCCTTTACCAGTTCAGCATGATTTGTATCATCTTTGCATTTGCCCAGAAAATTTTTGACAACTGCAACAAATGAAATCCAGCCTTTTTACTCAGCCTCATTTATTAAATTCATAGCCATTACTAAGTTGTCTTATTTGTAGACTGTCAAATATTCTTTCTTTAATTGTTTCTGTACACAACTGTGGAATGTTCTCGGCTATATTGCTCCTTAAAGCCCAGCTTGATCTCTCCTTCAACTAAGCGTTGTTAATGATGTTCTTTTTCCTAATGTCCATGTTTTCTCTCTTAGGTCATTCTTATCTAACCTCGTGGCATGTTTTCTTTGTCATCCCAGAGGCAAAAGAAGCAAGGATACTTAGTGTAGCTTCTTTGTTGTCCAAGGAAAAAGTTTACCATTTTAGGTTGACACAAAACACCTCATTGATGTTCCTGATACTTTAGCTTTTCCAAGACCATCTTGAACCAAATTTGTTTCTACTGTGCATAAGAACACATTTTAATTTTTGCTTTGAGTTGTCAATAAATAGATGCCAATCATCTTGAATAAATTCATGAAGACCCAATTTTTCCTGGAGTCCTTTAATTTCCTGATTTCCTGAAAAATTAAAAAATCCTCTTATAAGAAGAACAGTAGCAGATCCTCTCTTACGGTAGAAAGAAGCTTTGGTTGTTTGTACAAATAAATATTTGTCTTTCAACCTGAAAGCAAGTAACTCAGAAGCACATGTTGAAATCTCTGGTGAGGTCATTTAGCTTATCTTGGTCGAAACATTGTGGAATTGATGATATCCCCTCACTGTCACCTTAAATAGTATTAGACGGTGATCAGAAGTAAACTGTTTATTCTCACAGAGCCCTGGTAGCTGGAGAAACATTGGGATTGGCACTTCCTCTGAGTAAAGAATTAGTTGTCTTGAAGAGACTAAATCAGGATACATCCACTTGCTATGATTGTTTTCATTGATTCCAGTAATATTTACTAGACAGAAATAACAGTCATTAAAATGGTTTTGAGGTTATCTGAAACGATCGACATGCTAAATTTTATATTTTATTATTTCCCAGTAGTCTACTGTCAAAAATGTTCTGTACCAATTTTACAGACTTGATGTGGTGCCCAGGTTTTACTTAACACCAAATTATCAAGTATAAGCCTCCTTTACAAAGTCACTTACTGTTTTTCTTTTTTCTTTTAAGATATATTCTTCGCATATGTAGTGAAAAAAATCAGGGTGGTTCATACAACTTCTTCAACTTGAATTCATTTTATATATGTATAACAACAAAAATACAACAACAATCTACAACACAGTACTTTTTTTGTTGTATTAACAAAAGCACTTTCCAAAACACTCATATAACATCATATGTTCTCATATTTAACAAAAGCACTTTCCAAAACACTCATATAACATCATATTTCCAAAACACTCATATAACATCATATTTCCAAAACACTCATATAACATCATATGTTCTCATATTTAGATTCAGACTAACATAGCTAAAACCAGTTATAAAATTTTAGACATAAAAAAAAAAATGTTATTAATCATTTATAAAGAAAACTTGAAAAAAGCTTAACCTGACAAAAAAAAATAAAAATAATGTGGGGTTCATGTGCCATTAAATAATAGCCACACTTTATAGGATGGCGTAAATGAGGGTCATGTGTTAATGGTATTTATACAAATTAGGTGGAAGCCAAATATGGTCAATATATAGTTATAATACTTATACCATTTAAGTATTATAAATACCATAGCCATACATAGCTCACATTATGTCATCCTGTAAATCAAATGTGGCTATCGTGTGGTCTTCATAGGAAAGATAAATGTGGCCCACTTGTACCCATTCTGTTTATAAGTGGAATAAAAGTGTTCTAGAACACTTTTTTCAATTTTTTTTAATTTAATTTATAATTATTTATATAAACTAGATTCGAGAATCTAGTTTATATAAATAATTATAAATTAAATTAAAAAAATTCAAATGTGGTTTAAAATTAATGTACAGTTTGATGATCCATTTCCACACACATGTGGAACCAGTTTTCATACTTATACATTTTAAATTTTAAACATTTTTAATTATAAAAATAGTAAATTGTGATTCAATTGTTATAATAGTCCATGATATCATGTGATTTTCAAGGTTAATAATTTTTAATAACTTTTGTTAGTCTTGTTTTTTTGTTAATCAACTTTTGTTAGTCTAGTTTTTTTAAGTCTGTTTAAGCAATTTTGTATCTAACATAATTCAACATATATTTTTGCTAAAGTTTATAAATTTCAAAGTTTTATTAAATGAAGATAGAAAATCTCAACACATTGCGTTTGATAAAAGAAAGAAAAGAAAATGAAAAGTTTATTGTATGTATTTGTATTTATGAATAAAGTTATAAAAGGTAAAAAGTATAATATTTCACACTTTAAGTTTTTTAACTGATGTATGCATCTGCATTTGTATAAGAATAAGTCATTAGATTTGTTTATATGTTCTATATGTAAAACAAGTCTTTAGATTTGTTTCTATATGTATTTTCCCATGTGAAACTTTCCTGTAATAATATAGTACAATGTTCGTTCTTATTTAGTGTGGTTTTCAAAGGTATAAACATAATAACCACACATGGGTTGCACAAAGGCCATTCCATAAAGAGGAGTGGTAAGTATATGGTTTACATTTACTTTTCCACATGTGGCCCACATAACAATTTCTTGTTAGGAATTCCATCAAATTTTCTTGGTGAAAAATCATGGTCTAACATTGACAATCAAATCTTGATTTCTTGTACCATTTTTTGAAAATTAAATTCACCTCCCCAAGGTTCCAACTTTTAAACAATTTTACACTCTACAAAATGAACTTTTTAAACGAGTCTCAGGGGTGTATCCAGAAGTTTTATGGGGACATGGTTTTAAGGAAAAAGTTCCTCATATGGCCATGGATATTTGCGTTGGTACATGAATCTCGCTAACAATCTGAAGACCTTTTTTATATATATAAATATATATATATATGTATATATATATATATATATATATATATATATATACATATATATATATATATATATATATATATATATATATATATATATATATATATATATATATATATATATATATATATATATATATATATATATATATAAATTTACTAAATTATTATAAAATAAAAAAAGTAAGATAGAACCCTATAGTTCTCATGAAGTTAGTTATCATGAACCCTATAATTCTTAAAAAAAGTTTATTTCATTATGAATGTTATTACATTTACATTTGTTAGACAAAAATGAGTAAATTCATTTTACTTTTTAATTTTCTTTTAGGGAATCGGTCCAATGTTTTAGTTATGGGATACTTTTATGAAATTATTAACATGATTGGTGTTTTGAAGTAAGTAATTATTTCAAAATTTCCTGGTTTTGTTTTAAGTAGGTAGTGCGCAATTAATAGAGTTATTGTTTTCTGTGAGATCTTGATAACTGACCCCACCACATTCTTGGAAGCACCCCACCACATTCCTGGAAGCACCTCACCAATTAAATTTTTTTTCAAAGCTGATTTGTTGGTGTAGGTTTTTAAGTTATGTGGTTATTAGGTTTGTGTTTTAAAGTTATATGGTTGTTAGAGAAACAAAAAACCTACCCTGTAGTTGTGCTCTCTAATTTGTTCTGCTTCCTAAGAAATTACAAATTATTCCTCATTTTTGCTATATTTTTAGTGATAAAGCTGGAACATAGTAATGAGTTGTTGTATGACTGGTGTAAAGTAGTTTATTTTGAAAATCTGATTTATAAATTTTTTTTAAATATGGTTGTAGTTTATGGATAAATTATTTTGAGCATGTGATGTTTGTTGATATGTTTCATATGATATTTGTTGATATGTTTCATATGATGTTTGTTGATATGGAGTTTAAACATTTTTTTTTAAACTTACAGTTACAAAAAACTTCTTATTTTATTGAAGTTTAAAAGATAATTGATAAAAAATTGATAAAAGATAAATCTTTTAATTTAATGTTTTGATGTTTTATTAAATAAAATGCAATGTAAATTTTTTTTAGCAACCTGGTGATAGTAATAAAACCTCAGCAGTTTGGGGCATAATGGTAATGTTGTATCGATTTAATTAAATAATTAAAGTGAAATAATTTTGTTCCTAATTTTTTTAGAGGAACACAGTTGCGTAAAAAAAATGCAAGTTTTACTTCTCTCAACTCTGAATTAATGGCTGTTTCAATATTTCCACAGCGGACAGAGTCATTTAAAAAACCTGTTGTAATTGTCCAAAAGTTTAAAACGGTAAATTTATTTTAAATTTTAGCTTTATCTGTATTAGATGCTTTAAACAGATAATGTAAAATGTAATATGTAAGATGTTGGTCAACAAATCAAGTTAGTTAGAATGAAATTAAAATCTTATTGGGTAGACAAAATTTTAATGAATTTAAAAGGTGAAAAAAGAAACCATCTTTACTCTTTATCTTATTTATTCATTTGCATTTATTCTTTTATTGATATTTATTCATTATTTATTTCGTTTTAAATCATCTACCCTTTTTATCATTCTTACTCAGTTTTCATAAAAATTGAGAAAAACCTTTTTTCCAATTAATTTAAATTTTTTTTTAAAGTTTGCACAATAACAATAGCTGCTTGTGACAAAAAATAAAATAAGGAACAAAAAATATTTTCTATGGTTTCTATGGTTTCCTATATAAAGTTAGATTTTAGGTAGTTAAAACTCCAGGTTTATAGCTTTTAGCTATTTCTTGGTTATACATCTTTACTATTCAATTTTTTTTTATTTACAAATAATTTTTCATTTTGATATTTTATTTTTTAAGTATGACATTATTGAAGAGTTAAAGCAATTAATACCCTATAAATAAAATTTTGGACAAATTTTGATTGCATTTATTATGTAATTTATTTCATGCACGCAAAAAACCTTTATACTTATTTGAAAGAGGATTTTAAAATCTATTTAAATTTAATTTAATTTAAGATAAAAATATTGTTTAAATATTGAAAATAAAATTGTCAAAGTAAAGGACCTCGAAAAATTGATAAAATTTTTTTTCCAAAAATCAAAAATCAATTTTCCAATCCAAATTTTCCAAAAAAAAAAAAATCAAGAAAAAAGTAAAGTGTTTGTTGCTGAGAAGTTTATGGAATGGGGTTTATCCAAATCAACTGCTTATGATAAAATAAATCTATCGTAAAATTAGAGAATGGAACTCTAAAAAGAAAAGTTGGAAGTCTTTGAATCACCAAGGTACTAAAGAAAATAATTCAAAGATTGCTGCATTTTTTGAAAATAAGTCAGGGTGCTCCCAAAAGAAAGTAGCTCAAGTTTTTAACTGTAGTCAAACTCGAATTTCCCAAGTATTAAAAACAATGACTAACATTCGAACTTTCAAAAAAACAAATCTTTCAGATTGTAGCCATCAGCAGAAGAAAGCTATGTGTTGTAAAACGACCTAAATGTCGTAAATTGTACAAAAGTTATTAAAATTTGGATTTTATTATGGATGATGAAAGCTATTTCACCTTAAACAATAGCACATTAACTGGTAATGATAGGTTTTATGCCTCTGATTCTTCTCAATGTTCTGACGAAGTAAGGTTCAATTTGCGTAAAAAGTATGAGGACAAGCTCTTAATTTCTTGCTGCATCAGCCCCCTCTTTATATTCATCACAGTAAGCAGGCAATCAACCAGTACACTTATAAAGAGATACTAGAAAAAACTTTACTTCCTATAGTATCAAAATATTATAAAAATAACAATGAGTTTATCTTCTGGCCTGATCTAACTTGATCACATTACACAAAGTTGGTCATCGACTTTTTAAACTTGAAAAAAATCAAAGTTGTACCCAAAGATATAAACCCAGCTAACGTTCCAGAAGCAAGATCAATTGAAAACTTTTGGGGTGATTTAAAACGGCTAGTGTACAAGAATAATTGGAGAGCTGAGAATTCGGAAGAGCTTGAAGCAAGAATTAGATATTGCTATTCAAAGATGAATAAAGAAATTTTCCTTACTCAAATAAAACATCTTTCAAAAAAACTTTATAATATTGCTAAATATGGTATTTTAAATAATTATTTTAATATATTTATAAACTACATATATTAACAGTTGAAATGTTAAATAATAAAACTTATTAGTTCTTAAAAAATTAATTTTTAAATTTTGTCCAAAATTTATAAGGTGTTATTTATAATCAGATACCCTTCTTAATGTTAAATGTTTTGCAAATCAAGACTGAGTGTTACAATCACTAGGAGGATAACCATGCTAGGTTTATGAGCTCCTCCTACATTTACCTATAAATTTGGGGTTTATATCAGAGTTAACATTTTCCTCAGTAAGTTGCTTTTACCACAACTAATGAGCCTTGCTTAACCACAACTAATGAGCCTTGCCTACCTCTAGGATAGAAGTAGGATCAGTAAAATATTGTAAAAAAATAATTCTAGATTTGTTTTTATTAATATAACTTTATTTCAAAAAATTTTAACGTTTGCCAATGAAAAATAGGAAATCATTTAACAACGTAACAGCATGTTTAGTTATTTGTTTGTTGTTAAAAATAACTTTTATTCTTAACATCTATTTTTCTCAACCAATATCTGAATTTGGTTTTTAGTTGGTAAACATCAGCATTCTAGTCATCCATGTACAATTTTTGTTTAGGAACTGTCCAAAAAATTTTCTGCAAGATAAGTTTCAGACACATTTTTACTTTTGGTATCTTTTAAATTTATATCTAATCTATGACTGATTTAGCATAGTATGATAAAGATAAATTGTATCAAATTTAACTTATTTTAGTTTGTAATATTCTTGAATGAATTAGACCAACCACTTGATAATACACTTATTGTGATGTCTTGATTAATACATAAAGTTGATTTTGCTCACATGTTTTGGTAAAATAGCGAGTGAAATAACTTTTAACCTTGTAACTTCATTGTATGATAATATTAGTAATAGTAAAATTAGGTAATCATCTAGTAAATATTAAATTTACTTTTATTACATCAATTTTATTGTTGTATAAGAAATACATTCTTTTTTAACATTATTTTGAACTTGTAGCTGGACAAAGTCTCTATTAAATCCAATTATAGTATATTAAATTAATTAAAAGTTTACATGTTAATAAATATCTTAATCGATATTTGATTTAATTCTCTGCATATTATTTGATTTTCTGTATATTAAAACAGCTGTGGTGCAGTGGTTAGAGACTTTTAAAGCAAGAAAATATAAAATAAACATAATTGCAATTTTAAACATTAAGTAGTTATAAACAAAAAGTTTGTGATGTTGGTTTTCTCTATGAACACTTTCATATAGTGTATCAGCAAAAGGTTTTAAAATTATTGAATCATTCTTTTCTAATTGCAGTATTAAAATTGCTCTTGATAAATTTCTTCATTTCTAAAAATCTCTGACGGTGGTTCCATCTAGTTGGATTTTGCTACAAACCTGTCATGAAATCACTGTTAACATACTGTTGTCATATTTTGGCTGGGTCTTCTAACAATGCTATTTCCTTTTTTTCTCTATTTTTAAAATGAATTCATGTTTACTGCAAGCCTTGTTTCTCTTGTTTCCTTACCTAAACTTAATACTGCGTGATTTCATTCATTCAGTCAAGTTGGATCTATTTACTGTAAATGTTGGATCTACTGTATATATACTGATACTGCTCCTTTATGCTAACAAAGTCTAGTTGTTGCATTTTTCTGACGTCTGATTTTATCCAAAAAATGTTTTGCTTTTTATTGCTCTTTAATTCTTTTTTATTTAATGCATTAATTTAATGCTTTTTTATTCTTCTTTAGTCCCGAAAAACTCCCGAAACTAAATAATCGTTTTTTTCCAGCTTTTTTGTAAAGAGTTTTTTTGTTAAAAAGTAAATATCTTACAACTACAGTATATAGATATTTACTTTTAAGATTTAATTTTTTTTTAGTTTTTAGATTTAACTCCTAACTGTGTCTACTTAAAGTATGAAAACGGAAGTGTAATTTGGTCAGATGAAGGATGTTTTTTGCATAAGTTTAACTCAACACACATTACTTGTCACTGTTTTCACTTAACAAATTTTGCTATTCTAATGTCTGTAACAAACAATGTGGCATTGTTATCGGTAAGATGATGCAGATGTTTTTTGTTATCAATTGCTCAGAAGGATGTTGACTTTGCGGTATCTCTAGTCTCCTGTATAAAAAACAGATGAACTTTGGTTTGAAAAGTAACTGAAAAGTCATTAGTTTTATTTATTTTTTAAAAAAGGTCACACAACATGACTCTTGATTACACACTCCCATAAATCAGTGAGTTTTTTTTCTTCAAAAGTAAATCAACCTGGGTCTCAAAAGAACCAGAATTTCATAGAGATTTTAGAAATAATAATGGTCTCAAATAAAACTGCAGGTTGTTTTTTATGACATTTTGTTTGCAATATTTTTTTTTTAAAAGTTTCAGTAGAAAAGATTATGAATTTTGAAATCACTATAAAATTCTTTTCTTCAAAAGTATATCAACTCAGGTTGATATACTTTTGAAGAAAAAAAAATTCACTGATATATGGAAGCCAGTGTGTAATCAAGAGTCATGGTGACCCATTTCAAAAATTAAGTAAAACCAATGACTTTTCAGTTACTTTCAAACCAAAGTACATCTATTTTTTTTACAGGAAACTGGAGATACCAAAAAGCCAACACCCTATTGCTCAGGTTGGAAAAAAAGAGGTGTTTTGTTGTTGCCAAGCAAGTCATATTTTTTTAAAATAGTATTTCTCATTCTCATTGCATAATTGTAATAATTATTTTTCATAAAAACAAATACATTAGATTTTATTGCTGAAAACTAATTTTTTAATTTTTTTTCTTAATCTTTAACATGTAAACTGTTTATTTGATTCAATAAATTTTAAATGAAATTTTTTTTTTGTTTTTTAAAATCACTATAAAAAAAGCTTTTTCTTTTTTTTCTTTTTGAGACCCAGGTTGCCTTTTTTAATTTTTATGACATTTAAACTCATTTTTTATTGTTTAAGTTTATTTCTTTTTCTTTCTCTCAATATTTTTTTAAATCATGTTCAAAATCAAGTCAAAGAAATTTGTTGTTATATATATTATAAAAAGTGTAATTTTTTATTTCATATATTTCTGCTATATATGGAACTATAAGATTATATGCTATATATGGAACTTCTAATATAATGGAAGTCGAGAGAGTATTATAAGATCTTAGCTCTATGTAAAATAACATTCTAAAAATAAAAATAATCACATGGTTGCTTCGCAAGTGAGCCATCATCTATTGTTTCACTAATCATAAATTAATATTGTGTGTTTTGTCATTTAGCCTTGTCATCTATTTACTGTAAATGCACTTGTTTTTGATTTTAGGAGATGTAATAGGAGAGGTTTTAGAATGGTGAAAAACGATTTAAATATTCAAACCTTATTTAATATTAAGTTTTATAAATAAATCTAGTGTCAATAAATTTAACATAAATCAATGTGTTTTTTAGTGGTCAGCTTTGCTTGTCGAAATAATATTTTTGAATTAGAGGGTTGAGACAGAGAAAGTAGACGCACACACAAAAAAAAGCCTTTAGAAGATATATTTCAATATAATGAATAGAGCATACAGAGAGAAAAAGAATATACTAAAAAAGTCTGAGGTCCCTCTGGACACTTAAGAAAGCATGCGTTTTTAATCACTTGCTTGGAAAGAGGAGATTCTAAATAATTTTGCCACCTCAATATTGTTGTTTTTATATCCAATCAATGTTTTCAGGTTGTTAGGAAAATAAAATAAAATGTATAAATAAAATAATAAGATAAAAATGTCTGGCTTTAAATACTTATTTTAAAAATAAAAGTTATATTAAATATACAAGAAGTGTGTTAGCCTAAATCTGCAATATAGAAATATGTATTACTACAGTCAAATAAAAAAATATCTGAACAAAATATTTTATTGTGAAAAATAAACTTTGACTGGTTATTTCAGAAATTTTTTTTTTTTTTGATAAATACTGTTATAATTATTCTAAAAGCAAACTTAATCACAATTATAAATGGCCAAAAAAAAACTACATTAATTAAATCACATTGTTAAAATTTAATGACTCATTAAGTGTTAAAACCTCAATGAAAATTAGTTAACCAAACATGTTGTTTTGTAAACGAAGATTTGAAAGTGGTTGTTAAAAAAAAGTTTTCAATCAATAATTTTAAAAGTATTGTTGCCTAATAATAAGTAACAATCTATAAACATTGATAACTAGAAAATTCATGAGTGCTTGTGGCACTCGTTTCTAGCAAACTTTTACACTAGTAAATTATATTCATTTTGAGAAGCAAAGTGAAGTTTATGAAGGCAAACAAATCTTATATATATTATGCATACCTTATGATGATTAATAAGTGAAAAAGAATTGAAATTAAAAATTTAAATGACTAAAAACATATGTTAAAAAATGTACTAAAATATAATAATATTCTTGAAAAAGAGTTTGGAATACAAGTTTTTACTTTTTACAATTAATTGAAAGAGAGCAGATTTAAAGCAAGAGTTTCATGCATTTTTTTTTTCAAAAATCCTTAGAGACCGAAGACTTGTATTTGCTCAAAAGTATGTAAATATGCCAGTATTATTATGTAAGAAAGTTTTGTGGACTGACAAGTCGGAGTTTAATCTTGTGAAGTCAGCTCAAAAGTGTTGATAAAAACAGATGAACCATTCAAGGAACAGTAAAATTTGGTTGAGGCAATATTATGGTCTGGGGATTGATGGCTTCAAACAGAAAAGAAACGCAGTAGTTTGTTGATCAAATTATAAACTTAAAGGTTTATGTCAATGTTTTCAATAAAAATTTTCTAGCTTCAACTAAGAAATTGTGGCTTAGAAAACATTTTATCTTCCAACTAGACAACAACCCTAAGCATATGTCAAAGAAAGCTAATAAGTTTTTTATCCAGAAGCAGGTTGAGTTACTTAACTAGGTAGCTCAAAGTCTAGACTTTATGCTGTAGCGAAAGTGAGATTCTTTTCTAGCTTAATTGCTCCCTCCAAGCAATCAAAGAGTGTTAGCTTCTTATCAAGACAATAATAAATGGTAGTATCACCAACGAACAATGTTACATATGACAATTTCTAGAAGATTGTTAATGTAAATTAAAAAATTATAAGGCCAAAGATAGAACCTAAAGGAACTCCTTAAGTTACATGAAATGAAGAAGAGTGCTGTCCATCGAGGACAACTTTTGTACTACATTTGGTAAAGAAAAATTCAATAATCTCAAAGATGTTACCTAATACACCATAAGGAAAAAATTTATGGAGAAGACCAGCATGTCAAACTTTATCAAAAGCTTTAGAAGTGTTGAGAGCAATTGCCTTTTGAGATGAAGCAGGGGCTAACAGAAGTTTTCTTGCTATACAGCATATACGAAGATAGTAATCCTTATTAGCGCTCCACCATTTTTATACTGCTTTTTCATTTTCTAATTTGATTATTCCTTTCCCAGCCATAAAACAATCTTTTTTTTTATTATCTCCTCATCTGTTATTCCAATAATTTTTCTTTCCTTTTTCCTACTTTTTCTTTCTTCTTCTGGCTCATAATTAAGAAAATTTGTTTGCAATTGTCATTCTTAAATTTGATGCATATAAAGCTGATGTAGATCGCTGACAACCCTTATTGGTTGGTGAGGAATTAGAACTATTGGAGGAAGATGAATCTGATTCTGACATGTTATTCATATTAATCTCTATTTGTTCATTTATTTGATCCTTTATCTTAGACAAAAGCCAACTTTTAACCAAACTTTTTTTCTCATTAGAGAAAAGTATCAGTTTATACCTTAGATCAACAGCTGTGGACAAAACATGTACTTTACTCATTAGTACATTAAATTGACCTTTTAATGAAACATTACTCATGAATCTTTTTTCAATAGACTCTTTTTTTGCATCTTTTTCATTGATTGAACTCTAGAATCATCTGCAAGGCTTCCAAGAAAATTATGTAATGCTCAAATATGGCTAATTACTGATGACAGCATTGATTTTAATTTACTGACTATATCAGTAATCATAAAAAATGGTTGTAAAAGTCCCAATACATTTTCTTTTAACTCCCATTCACTTGAAGTTAATATTAAATTTACTAAATGAGGTTGATCTGCTGTGTAAAGTTGTATAGATCTTTTGGTCGTTTCAATTCAATCTAACATTAAATATGTACTATTCCATCTTGTCGGAACATCTTGGATTGGTTATAAAGGTGTTGAGATTTGTGAATCTAATTCTTTCTGTATTTTTTTTAATTTGGTGCAAGCCAAACTTGAAATGTTAAAATGAGTGCAGATGCTTCTGCATTTCTTTATCATGTCGTATACTGCAACCTGGTCAAAAAGGGCATCTTTGATAACTAGCTGCAGTTGATGAATAAAACATGAGATGCCTGAGGACTCTGTCAAGTCAATTCCAAGTTGCATGTTATAAGCACTATCTCGAAGGACATTATGTATTTTCTTTTTGGAAATATTCCAATCAACTAGTATCGCATCAAATAAATTAACAATATTTATTCCAGTGTGGGACCCTGGAAAATGCTTACAGTGTAGAACACAATCTTTTCTAATAAAATTATCTGTGATCCAATGCGCAGTTAATGATATAAATGCATCATTACTATGGGTATTTGTCCAAATATCTGTTGTAAACGAAATATGATCAGCTGCAGAAATGTCATTAAATAATACATTTAATTTTTCATATGATGCTGGTAGCATTGTTTCCTTAAAAAACTTTCTACTTGGATTTAGTTATTGTGGTTGCAAGTGAGCAATCAATTCAATGAACCCCTGATCTTCAACAACAGAAAAAGGTTAATTGTCCATCGCAATAAAATTTATTATTCTTTGATTAACTTTGGAGGAGTGAGAGTCCTTTATATTCCAAACTTTTTTTAGGAACAAAATCATCTATGCTAGTTTGTGTATGTGACTTAATTGCTTTGAATTTTCTCTCTCGTGGTGTCTCAGCTTTTGATTTTTTTTCCATTTTCTGTTCTTCTTGTTTTCTGTTCTTCTTGTTTTCTGTTCTTCATGTTTTCTGTTCTTCTTGTTTTCTGTTCTTCTTGTTTTCTGTTCTTCTTGTTTTCTGTTCTTCTTGTTTTCTGTTCTTCTTGTTTTCTGTTCTTCTTGTTTTCTGTTCTTCTTGTTTTTTCTGTTCTTCTTGTTTAACCTCATCATATGCATCTATATGATATATTTTTAAATGCATATGAAGTGGTGTTGTGTTAAATATTTTTGGGGTACTACCACGTTTAACATTTTTGTGGCATAATTTACATTCTGCTGATGTATCTGTGGCATCATTTGTTTTAAAATATCTCCAAACAAATGAAGGAAAAGACATTTTTAGATGTTCAAATGTAAGTTTAAATAGTTAAAAACTATAGGATGCAGTACAAATACAGTAAAAATTTACATTTTAGTCTAAATATAAATAAAATTGCAGTTATGCAATTTATGCAGTTAAAAATTTTCAAGAAGTAAAAACTAATAAAAATAAAATTATTTAAACAAGAACAAAATGAATGAAAAAATGAATGAAAAAATTATATAACTAAGATGATGAGGTGCAATCCAAATTAATATTGAAAGTAAAAAATAACATAAATATAATTCTAATTCCGGCCGGAATTTTATTTATAATTCCGGCAAATCCGGTTCTGCCCGGAATTGAAAAAACCCATTCTGGTACAATCCTACCTATGATAATAAGAAGAATAATGGGATAGTAGATGCGACAATAAATGGGATGATAGTTAAACAAGTCAGATTTCAGAATTTTTTCAGAATTTTTGAAAATAAGGATAACAAAAGCTGCTTTCCAACAGGCTGGAAAATAAGACTAAGCAACTGTTAAATAGTTTTGAAAATATAAGTGTCAGCTCTGGAGAACATTTCTGCAAAACTGTTACAAGTATGTTGTCTGGACCACATGCTGTAGAAAAGTCTAGGCAGGAAATCACTTTTGATACAGAAATTGGAGTGGTACGAATGTCAAGCAATGGATCAACATGTTTGTTGGCTATATCAGGTAGGATGTGATTAGTGGAATTAAGAGATGAGATTGATGAAAAGTTCTTAACAAATAATTTAGCTTTTTCTTGAGGTGAGGTAACAAAATATGAACCATGCAAGAGAGGAGAAATAACAGATTTGACTTTATTATACACATTGTTAAAGATTTATTATACACATTGTTAAAGATTTATTATACACATTGTTAAAGATTTATTATACACATTGTTAAAGATTTATTATACACATTGTTAAAGATTTATTATACACATTGTTAAAGATTTATTATACACATTGTTAAAGATTTATTATACACATTGTTAAAGATTTTATTATACACATTGTTAAAGATTTTGAAGACTTCAAAAACAAACAATCTTTTAAACAAAAAATCTTTAAAACAAAAATTATTTTATTAATAAATATAATAGTAAATATAAATATAAATGGTATTATTATACCAATTTTATATTTTTACTTAATATATACTTTTCACCTCCCCAAGGTCACACTAGTCAGGGAATACTCGGTTTTTTTTTTAATATTTATATTTAACAGGTTAATATTTAAATAACAAATTAATACAAAATTAAAATTAATGCTTTATAAATAAATAAAAATTAGATACCCCCTCCATGACTTTATTACCCCCATGAATTCCATTACAATAGATATTACAATAAATACAATAGATAAATATTACAAGTAGTACAAAAGTATTTCAAGATTTGTTCGTATAACTTTTTAAAAAAGTTATACGAACGAATTTTGAAATACTTTTGTACTACTAATTTTTGAGATGAAATATGAGATTTTGTGACCTGAGAATAGTGGGCTTTAGTGTTAGTCAAAACCTTTTTACAATGGTTTCTAGCAATAGTAAACAGGTGTCTGTTTTCTGGAGAATTATTTTGTGCAATAGATATGGAAGTAATGGGGTTATAATTAGAAATTGCAGCAGCACGATGAGAGGAAAACCATAGAAAAGAATGAGGCTTGACTTGAAATTGTCAAGAGGGAATAAAAGTTTCCATGCCAACCTGAATCCAAGAACTTACATAGGAAGCACATTTGTCAGCAGGATTTCTATTCAAGAGCCATCACAAAGAAAATCACAGAAAGAGTTCTAGTTTACTTTAAGGTGATTGTAAGAGGTAAGATAATAGGCAGGATTTTGATGATGAAGAAGAATGAGATATAATTTTAGAGAGATCAAACCATGATCAGAAGTACCTAAGGGTAAATGTGGAGAAACTGACTAGAAACAGAAGCAAGACATTAGTTAAGTGGAGAAGGTGAATGGTTCGGATAGTCAGGAAAGCCATTTGGAAAGTTGATTATTTGTGTTAGAAATTGAGAAAAGCAAAAGTTATGGCCCTTAATGCCTGCAGAATCACTGACACTAAAGTCATTCAGTGTACCAAGTATTAAAGTCATCAACAACATTGGTTGAAGAGAAAGGGCTCAGTCAATTTGATCAGAAAAAATATGAGAGCGATATAGAACAAAGAGAAGGGTTATAGAGTGAAGTGATACTAAACAAAAGCACATAAAAAAATAGTCTGTGGATTCAAAACTAATGTAAAAAATAGTCTGTGGATTTAAACCTACTGAAAAGAATAAGGTATTTAGTAACAATATTAAAACACTTACAACTCTTGAACAGTTTAAGCAAAAGCTAAAACTATTACTTTTAAATAGAAAACAAATAGAGAACTAATTTTAAATCTATCTATAAAAATATTATGTTTGAAAATTATCTATTAGTGCATACTTTATTACTGTAGCAGCCCCCCTTGGTGGGGTAAGTATGTTATATATAAAAGGGAAAAATTGTGAAATTAAAAAAATTCCACTAAGCATATACAGCAAGTAAATACTTAATGAAAGTAGCACAAAATGTTGACAATCGGTGCTTTATTTTTTATTTTTTGAACTTGGAAGGAGAGAGGAGAGATTGAAAGAGGGAGGAGGGATTTTATTTTAGCTATTCTTTCAAAATATAAATTTAATAAAGATTTTACGGTAATTTTATCTTATTATATTATTTATTAATTGATTTATTTTTTGTTTAGAAAACAAATGCTGCTATCATGAACATCATTACAGTGTCTGGAATAATAATATCTCTCTTTTTCTTACTACTATCTTTTTTAACTTTCTTATTTGTCAGGTAATTTTAATTAAAAATAGTATAAACCAAAAATAAAATCATTGTTTTTTTGTTATTATTTTTTATTCTGAAATTAAATTAGTTTATTTTAATTTATAAAAGTTACATAAATGGCTATTAAATTATATTTCATATAAGACATATTATAAGCTATATTATAAGCAATAATGTTGTAATAATTATTGAGAAAGAACTATTATGTTTTTTTATGTATTAATAAAGAGCAGTGGAGCTTTTTATTATAGTTGCCAGGCTTATTGAGAAAGAGCTTTTTACTAGAGCCAATAGAAAACTAGTGCTTCTGGTTCTTAAAACTATTCAACAATAAAAATATCAACAGTAATTTTAAATTTCAATTTTTTTAAATATTTTTTTGTTTTTGAATTGTTTATAGTAGTAATAGTTTTAATGGTTTGTAGTTTTTTTTACTTTTTTTTATTTGAATAATTAAAAAGTAATGCACATAAAGAACCAGAAGCCAAGCTCAAGTTTTGAATTTTTCATGAGCCATGCTAAGCTATGAAAAAAAGCTATGAAAAAAAATTGTAGTTTCATAAGATAATTATTTTTTTCATTACTTTTATAGTGTTTATTTTAGTTTAAGAATTTAACTATTCAGATGTTTCAGATGTTTAACTGTTCATAAAATTACTTTTTAGATCTATTCAGTCCATTCGAACTACTATACATAAAAATGTAGTGGCTTCATTGTTCATTTCACAATTCATATTTTTGTTTGTTGATCGAGCAGATAATAAGGTTTAGTTGTTTTTTTTCAATGTTCGTTTCACAATTCGTATTTTTGTTTGCTGATCAAGCAGATACAGTGACAAATCCAGGAATTTTTGGTGAAAGGCGAAGGGGGGTTTGGTGATGTTGAAATATTTTAGTATTTTGTACCCTATTTTCATCTCCTAAAAAGAAAAAGGTCTTCAATTTCTGTAATATTTTTAGGACTTTAAGATTCTTTGGATCTGACACTGAGCAGATAATAGGACATAGTAGTTTATTCCATAATTTTTATTCTTTAAAAAATAGATTTTTTTTTTTAATAAACAACGGAAAATTGTATGGTTTTGACTAGCTTCATTTACCTATACTTGACTAGGTACACTTACCTATGACTGGTCAAAATCAATGGCTGGTCTAGAATGAAACACATTATGATTATGTTGTATAACTAATACTAATTAATACTAGCTGCAACAAAATATGTTCTTTATGTGTTCTGTATGTGTGTCTGTTCTGTATTTTTTTTTTATGTGTACATATGTATAATTAAAAAAATAGTTTGAAAAAAAAAAATTAAAAAATAAAAATTAAAATTAAAATTATATATATATATATTTACAGATAGTTTGTCAAGTAATTGGCGCATCACTGCATTATTTCTTTTTGGTTTCATTTTTTATGATGGGATTTGAAGGAGTTGTTCTTTACTTAATGCTTGTTAAAGTTTTTCGCGTATTGAATAATTCAATGGGTAAATGCTTAAAGTATATTGCATTATGTTGGGGTGAGTAATAACTTTAAACCAATATTTATTTTTTATTTGAAAGAAAAATTTATTTAAAAAATACTGTTATGTTTTTAAGTTAAGGTAACATCTTAAGTTAAAAGATTCATATTTTTTTAGCATTTTCAAATAAAAAATTCATTTATATATATACATAAATATGGAGATATATATATATATATATATATATATATATATATATATATATATATATATATATATATATATATATATATATATATATATACTCTTGCATGTTAGTCAAAAAGAGTTTACCATAAACTGTATTTTTAAAGAGCGTGTTAATAAACCAGACCAGAAAAAGTTTAAAAACTTAAATTTTTTTTTTTTTAATGATAGACTGCCTGCCCAAACCAAACCCTCAGTCGATGTAGCAGCACTCCCTTGCAAGTCAGGCTATTTGTCAGTGGTTGTAGCAGCACTCCCTTGTGAGTCAGGCTATTTGTCAGTCGATGTAGCAGCACTCTGTTGCGAGTCAGGCTATAAGATAGTCGATGTAGAAACACTCCTTTGTAGCAGCAGGCTATAAGATAGTCGATGTAGCAACATTTACGCATGTTTAAAAAAATGTTTTTTAATAAAACAAAAACAAAAACACCACTAATAAAAAAAAACTTTCTAGTTGTTATTATTGCAGTTTTTTAAAAAATTTTTAAAAAACAATAAAATTTAATGTATTTCCGCATTAATTTAATTGCTTTGACATTTTGACGACAATCAAATACAGCTTAAAAGACGAGGTAATTAAAATTGTAGTCGAAAGAGACTTTTTTTTACATTAAAAGACTCTTTCGACTACACTATAAGGATATATATATATATATATATATATATATATATATATATATATGAATGTATGTATATATATATATATATATATATATATATATATATATATATATATATATATATATATATATATATATATATATATATATATGAATGTATGTATGTATATATATATATATATATATATATATATATATATATATATATATATATAATACATAAATGTATATATATATGCATATATATATATGTATATATATATATATATATATATATATATATATATATATATATATATATATATATATATATAATTTTTAAATTTAAACAATTTTAAAGTATATTCTACATTTTATTTATTATTACGTTTTGTATATATATACATATATATACAAAACAAACTTTTTAAATATTAAAACTATTTTATTAATAATACATGTTTTGGCTTCCACTAGTTATATTTAGTTAAAATGTTTAAAATTTATTCAAATAAATATATAAAAGGTTGTTAAAAAAACCAGTACAAAGTGTAATTATTTGTGTACAAACTTTATACAATATATTGAAAATTTAACACTACATATTAAAGAATAAATAGGAAGTAACAAAAATATACATTAAAAAGATACACAATGTATATATAGAAAATAATAGTAAGACAGAAAGTATCATTTTATGATTTTCTGTTTAACTTTTATGATACTTTCAGTTTATGAACTTTTTTTAAATTTTAAATCAAACTTAGATCTTAAAATGGAAAAGCACTTATTGTTTATGAAACAATTTTCATTATCATGAAGACGTTTATAGATATGAGACTTTTTTGTTCTTTGTCCAGATATCTGCATCTTAAGTAGTTTAACCTATATAAGGAGTTACATCCTATATAAGGAGTTACATCCTATGTACGGAGTTACATCCTATGTAAGGAGTTACATCCTATATAAGGAGTTACATCCTATATAAGGAGTTACATCCTGAGTTACATCCTGCAAACACGAAGACCACAAGTGATTTGATCTCTAGAGGATTGGGATCTTTAAAAGAAAAGAATTTTGAAATTTTAAGTGTTTTAATTACTTAATTTAACAGTTATTAAACGCAATATATTTGAGCACTTGATTCCTGTTTTTTTTTAGATAAATCAGATATTTTTTTCCAATAAAATTTTAAAATTGGTGTTAATTTTGTTTTAAACAGTAGTTATATATTTTTAAAATTAGCCAAGATGGGTACATGTTTCTATGAAATACTTTTTAAGAGATTATGTTGGAGTAAAACCCAAGTTTAGTACTATTGATTTTAAATGTTCTATAGATTGAGCATTTGATGACTATCTGTGTAAGAAAACAAAGTAAAGCTATAAAAATTAACGTTAAGATCATAATAGTTTTTTTTTTGTGAAAAATTATAGTGCTGAATAAAATATTTATTTTATGTAGTTTTACTAATAAGAACAATATTTTTGAAGTTACTTCTTGTTTCATAGTAAAAGAAATAGAAATTTGTCTACTGTTTATATAGTTTTAGAAAAAGATTCATATCAATAATATAAAATGTTGATAATTTGAAGAAGAAACAAAAATACATTAAAATCAATAGATTTTATTGTTTTTTTTAATTGCAATATTAACAGTTTGTAGATAATTACATTTTGTATTTTTCATTATTATCTTTAAGGTATTTAAACAAATTTTAAATGTTTAATTTACTAAAGTTGACTAGTGTTAGTCAAAACATATATTGCTTTTTTTTATTAATGTTTTCAATGAGGTTGAGATAAGGTATATGGTTTGTCATGGCAATACATCAATTTTTTAGCTTTTTTAAATAAACCACAGCATTTTTTTTGCTTTATGGTAAGTTGTACCATCTTGCATAAACATTTTCCAATTCTTTTTCTTAATATGCCATATAGGAAAGCAACTGATTTTTCAGGACTTCTTTAACTGATCTGCAATTTTCAATTTCAACCCTGTTGGACCGTGTGGAAGTGCTTCAGCATTTTATAATTGGTTTTTTGTATATAACTGGAATTGTCTTCTTTAAGTTTGTCAAACTGTTATCTTTTGTTTTGAACATTATGTCCAAAAATAGTGTTGCTTCAAACAAGAATAAGAAAGTTTGGGAATCAAATTTAGTAAGGTTTGAAAAAGCTAAAACTTCCAGAAGATGTACTACTGTTGTTAAAAGTATTTGTGAAATGAATAAGTTGCCAACAGAACAGCATATTGTTGATTGATTTAAAAGTTTGTCATCAAATGTAAAAAGTAGAAAGGAGAGAATTACAATTGTGGCTAAAGAAACTAAATTGCTAAGGAGAAAGCTAAATATTCCTATTCAACAAGGGAAATCAACAGCAGAAAGAAAAATAGAAAATGTATTGAAAAAACTTGACAAAGATAGTCGAAAACCCGGAACTCAAAATTTTACACGATTGTTTGACATAGCCGATGAGAAATGTGAATGGTTGTGTCAGGAAGATAAAGAATTTTATTGTCTTCAAAAGTCAACAAATGAAAGAGCTGGATATTGTACCACAACTAAAGATACTGAAGGTATTCATCCAAGAAAATTAATGATGATAAAGAAACAAATGTCCATCAGTCAAGGACAAAATTTTGTTGAATTAGCTAGTGAAGGAGATCCTTCAGAAAGCAAAGAGCAGTGTTCCAGCAGTGATATTGAAGCTGAAGGTCCGTCATCATCATTTAAAAAACAAAAAACAAATTCAGCAGTAAATTTAGTGATTTCTGCAAAGATTAGTACCAAAAAAGCACATAAAGTATGTAAAACGCAAAGTGGTATCTACAAATGTGTTATGAAAGAAGGGGAAAAGTTGAAAGTAAATTATATGGAAAACCTAAAAAATGAAAAGTGTTCTTTGCACTTTGATGGAAAAAACATAAAGAAAATGGAATATCAAGTAGTTGTTTTGAAAAATGAAAATAGAGAAGAAATGAATGAATAAAAATAGAGAGGTTCGGCTTGCTGTTCTGGAGCTGATGAATGGAAAAAGTGAAACAATATATAATGGGATAAAGCATGTGCTAGATGAATATGAGCTGTGGCCAGCCATAAAAATGATCGTATCTGACACAACATCTACAAATGCAGGATTAAGAAATGGTGTAGTTACATGGTTATAGAAACATTTTAAAACCATTGGGCTAGAAAAGCCTGTTTTTATTGGATGCCAACACCATATTCTAGATACTCTTTTAAAACATGTCATGAATGTCAACAATGTCACCATATCTCCATTACCCTTTTGTGACAAGGTTGCAGTAAGATTACAAGAACTTGAAGTTATTATTTTATAATATCGGAAATCCTTTGACGAAAGTGAAGCGAACTCACTGGAGAGATGACATGGATTTCCTGAATAACTTAATAGCATGTTATAGAAAGTTTAAAAGCACAGGTAACTTTCCAAAAGTTAATTTCAAATCACTTCCTGCTATAAGCAATGCAAGATGGAATTTGAGAGCCATTTTTATTCTACTTGCTTACATTTTAATACCAGAATACCGAAATCAGAATCTACTTAAGCAGCATGTGACTTCATTTGTGGTTCATGGGGTGATATATGGTTTGGGGGTCACTACTTCAATCCTGCAGATTTTGTTAATCTATTAGAAGCATGCAATGAGCATCCCAAAGCATTGAAATCATTGAAAAGGTTTCGGTCCACTGAGCGAACACCAATACCAACACAACGGTCAAATATATGTGCAGAACGTGCTGTGAAAGTGATGCAAGACTTAATGCCATTATGCCATAGCATAGAAAAACTAAATAATAAATACTTATTGTCAAATACACAGTAGACAAATTTTAATTATACATGTTTATTGGTTTCTGTAAAGTAGTGGAAGATGTGTTGCAAAACTACATTTTTTATAAATATTTTTTAATTGGGGGTGAACTTTTTTGACATCATAAAAATTATTTTTTTGATTTTTGAACAAAAACTCCACTAAATTTAGTATGGGGATATAGGGTTGCAAAATTGTCATATCCCTAATATATATATATATATATATATATATATATATATATATATATATATATATATATATATATATATATATATATATATATATATATATATTTATATTTATATATATATATATATATATATATATATATATATATATATATATATATATATATATATATATATATATATATATATATATATTTATATTTATATATATATATATATTTATATATATATATATATATATATATATATATATATATATATATATATATATATATATTTGCTTTTATGTAAATATTTTATAGCTTTGCCTATTTTGATTGTAACATTGAACTTGGCCATTGATATCCGTGCTTATGGTAAAAATCTTAACCAGTGAGTTATATTTTTTAGTAAAATCTGTTCAACATGCTTTATTGATGTGTTAAATTTGTATGTAATTTTAGTGTATTTTTATTTAGTTGTTGGTTGTCAGTACGAAATGGGTTTATTTGGAGTTTTGTTGGACCTGTAACCCTGATTATTTCGGTAAGTATTGATTGAATTTAAAAAACTTTTTTTTTTATAAAAATAAAGTTGTGGTAGTAAATATAAAAAATTAATCCTAATTTTATACTCAAGTTAAAATAAGTTCTTACTTGCTCACTCCAGAAAAAAAATATGCTTTTGGCATGTATTTAATTGCTACATATAGCAGATCATTATCGTGTATATTATGGTGTATATTAGGTTGTCCCAAAAAACAGCAATTTTGAAATAATATGCTGGCACCCCTTTAATGTATTCTATATGATAAAAAAAACACTGCTTTTGAAAATTTTTTGAATAAAAAATATTTTTAGGGGTCGCCAAGACCCTTAAACAAATAACGAGTTCCAAAAATTATCAACAACAAAATTTTTTTTAAAGTGTACTTAGTGAAACAAAATGATATGAAAATTTTAAAAATGATAACTATATTATATAAAAATGATAATTATATAAAAATAAATGTTAGATTTAACAGCATGTTATTTTATTAACTTAGAGAGAAAAATTTTTACTGATTTTTTTGACAAAATTTTTTTTTAGTAAGTTTTTTATAACATAATTATAATTTTTAAAATTTTCATATGATTTCACTTCATTTGAGATGATAAAAAACATGATAAAAAAAATGTTTATGCGTACAGATGCAGACATAAAAAAAATTATGTTTATGTGTACAAATGCAGAGAAAACGTAAAAATAGTACATATAGTGTATATATGTATATGTATATATATATATATATATATATATATATAGTAAATATTTATAGTAAAAATTGATAATGGAAAAAATATCGAAAATGAGTTGAATTTAGCTTAACAACTCAAACTTTTTATTGAACAATCAGACACTGAAATGAAACTTGACCATCAGGAAATTGGAACAAACCTTGTTCAAAAGGAAATGGCTGTTTTTGAAGTTAGCAAAGCTAGGCTTAAGTATTTAGGTTTACTTTTCAAAGCTCTTCAAACAATTTCTCCTATAACCATAGAAGCTGAGATAGATTGCTACTAAAGTAAGAAGTTCTTTAAATGACGAAACAAATGAGATGCACTACCTTTTTTAAAGCAAACTATGAAGAGTAATCATTGATATTACTTGCTTTTGTCCTAATTAATAATGGTAAATGAATAAAAACTTTTACACATACTTTGTATTATTTGTGTGTGTTTTAACATAACTAAAATAAAGTTCAAAATAGTTTGAACTTTTTTCTGTAATAGTTTGAACATGTTCAGGTTTGAACTTTTTTTTAAATGTTCTAACTGGAAGCCCTAATAGCGAATTTATATAAGCATTTGCTCACCTTTTTTTCTTATCTTAATCCATACAGCTTTTTTAGAAAAGATTAGTGCCCCATGCGAACTGCCAGTCTATGTAACAACACTCCGCTGCGAGTCAGGCTATTTATCATTTAATGTATGTACTAAAGTCTCCGGCACCAGTCTATTTTAGTATGATGTCACACCTAAATTAATGTATGTATATATTTATATATATATATATATATATATATATATATATATATATATATATATATATATATATATATATATATATATATATATATATATATATATATATATATATAATTCCCCCATTTTATTATTCCCCCATTTTATATATACCCCCAAACCATAACAGTTAACCCACCATAGTTAAAATTCATCCAAGTTTCTTTCTCTTTTTGGAGATTGTGCCAGTAATATTGATAGCCATTGATAGACCATCTAGATTGTACTTTTTTTCATCATTAAAGAGAAATTGATACCACTCTTCCTGCCAAGACATGTGTTTTTTTGCAAATTTTAATCTAGCTTCTTTATGACGAACAGTAAGTTTTGGTTTTGGTTTACACTTATTCCAAACTGTGTTTGAATCTTTATGTAAGATTTGTCTTTCACGTTGAGCAGTTACAGGTAATTGTAAATCAGTACGAATTTGAGATGCAGTCATGTGCTGAGCAGCAGTCATACGATTATCAATTTTATTAACGCCAATCTTGAAGTAATTATTAACTACTTTTGGAGATCTTTTAATTTTCTTTGTAATTTTCTGATTAGATAAGCATGTCTTTGTATGCTTTGTTTACTGCTAATTCTTCATTCGTTAAACACTTACCACGTCCCATTTCAAATTCAGGTATCAAAAATCAAATGTTAAAAACTTTATGAGCACTGATTTCACAGTCTTTTTATAACTTACTAATAATAATAAAAAACAAATGCTATAATAATGTCACAAATGAGTATCATCAGATCGAAATATACAGATAAACTGAAAATAATTATTGATGAGGCTAATTCTATTTGTTACCACAAATATCAAATATTATATATTTTATGGTTTTATTAAATGTACCATAATTTAATTATGCTAAATTAAACATCATTATGATCATAAACATCATTAGGATCAACATGATCATAAACATCATTATTATTAACATGATCATAAACATCATTATTATTAACATCATCATTATTAACATGATTATGATCATAAACATCATTATGGTCAACATTATGATAAACATCATTATGATCAACATGATCATCATAATCATCATTACTATCATCATCATCATTATCATCATCATCATCATCATCAGATCATCTTCTCTTTCAGCAAATACTGCATCCTATAAATACTAAAGTTTATTAAAGAATGATGTATGCTAGCATTGAAATAAATAGCAAACATATATGTTTACATCTATAACATGATGCATAATGCGCATCTCGGAAGCTTTTATTCCTTCTGGACTAAAAATTTGGAAGCTTTTATTCCTAATCTTCAATTTTAAGTCAAGCCTCATTTTACTCCACATTTTTCAACATCTTAAACAGTTGTTTTATCAATCATTTATTTTATATTTTTTGCAAGAAAACCTTTTTTAAGAACAAATGTCCTTTTTTTTCCAGGAAGCCAATGTAAAAAGGTCCTGTCTGATGTTAAGCTCTGTTATTCTCAGTTTACTAAATCTTTTATCTTATATCAGATGTTAGGTTCTAGAGACTTTTTGTTAGTCTTTAACAATGTCATTAAATAAAGTAAGTCTACCATTTGTGAATGCAAAACTGTGATACTGTGATTACATACTGTGAATGCAAAAACAGTTGTGAATGCAAAACTGTGTCTACCATTTGTGAATGCAAAACTGTGATACTGTGCCAAAATATGCAATACTGTGACAAAACTGTGATACTGTGAACAGTCTACTATTTGTGAATGCAAAACTGTGATACTGTGACTACATACTGTGAATGCAAAAACAGTTGTTACAATGCAATGCGTCAATGTCAATGTGTTAATCTGATCAGCCTTGCTGATCAGATTAACACAGTTTTGAAAGCAAGGCTAATCAGATTTATGCTTCTGAAAGTTATGGTTTTTCTCATTGTCGCATGATAAAAAAATGTTAAACAAGGAAAATGTTGGAGTAATAAAGATAAACTTTGAAGATCATATATTGTGTCAGGTCATATATTGTGATCATATATTGTGAGGATCATATATTGTGTCAGGTCATATATTGTGAGGTCATATATTGTGTCAGGTCATATATTGTGTCAGGTCATATATTGTGTCAGGTCATATATTGTGTCAGGTCATATATTGTGATCATATATTGTGAGGATCATATATTAGTGTCAGGTCAGGAGTATGGTCTTCATGATCATCCTGCTACTAGTAGCATGTAACCCAGTGCAACCTGTTTCATGTTCTGCTGCCTTGCAGGATTTGTTTTCGAAGCAAAGGCTGGAAGGAGTGTTCTTCCTGTCATCAGTACTATCTTATATCAGTCATGTCTATGGTAATTTTTTTTTTTCATATAGTTGGAGGTGCCTTAGTTACTGTATTAGCTGTAATCTATGTTATATGTATGTTTGTGTTCTGTCTGAACCTCTGGCACGGTGTTGACTTACCAATAAGTTGATTTATGTTTGTTTGTGTTCTGTTTATACTCTAATGCAGCGTGAGCTCAGTAACTAACTACTCCAACTACAAAACCTACACTCACCTTAGACTCCTGTATTTTGTTAGATGCAGTGTTTTTCCTAATGCACTTCCAAAATATCATGCCTGGTTTTCTCAAAGTACTGTTGCAGGAAGTAACTCCTTTTAACTACTCCAGGTCAGGTCAGGATAATTGAGATCAATCTTGCTACTGGTATCACGTAACCCAGTACCACCTGCCACAAGCCCTGCTGCCTTGCAGAGCCTGCTCTTCTTAGGCCAAGGCTAGGAGAAATAAACTCCTACTAAAAATTTCCCTGCCTTGGGGCTCTTGGTTGAGTAACGGCTAGAGATGGTGTCTCGATAAAAACACTCATCTTAGGAAGATGTTAACTGCATCCAGCTAAACATCCCCTGCCTTGGGGGTCTTGCTTGAATAAAGGCTAGAGATGGTGTCTCGATAAAAATACTCATCTTGGGCTGATGTTAATTGCATCCAGCTACTGTCTTGTAGAAGGCCTTCTAGGCAAAGACTTTGGGGGCAAGCAGAAAAATTCTGCTAACCAGCCTCGAACCCCTTCTTCATCTATTAGGCTGGCATAAATGTAACCTCTGTTACATTGTTTCCTGCCTAGGATGATGAATGCTGGACCTCCTTGACTCTACTCATAGAATTTTGCTTATGCCTCCTTGATAATGGCTATGCAACTCTTCCTGTTATCTCCATATGAGGGTACAGCTCTAAAACTCAGTTTAATGGTTCTGAGGCCGGCTGATAGTAAGGTTTCCCGAACTCTGTGGTAGCTCTCAGAGAGGCTGATTCCATCAACAGCTGCAAAATATCAGAGTATTAACAGTGCCACATTGCGCATGGATGGTGTCCTTGTTAATGCTTTTGGTATGCATTGTCAAGGCCACATAAGGAGCCCTATGTCACGGCTTAGGGTTAATTAACAGGACTGAGACAACTGCATAGCTCATTGATTAGGAGGCTGTGCTCTATCTATGAATGAGTCAAGTTCTCATTAAACCCAAATCATGACCAAAGTAGCCAAAAATTTAAAACCTAAAAAACCATCCCCACCACCTAAATATTTTAATATATCTATTACAAATATTCGTGGTCTACGAAGCAACTTTCCATCAGTTGAGTCTTACCTCCTGCAAAATTCACCAGACTTGCTTGCACTCAGTGAAACAAATTGAAATTCTGCAATTCCTTCTTCAGATGTCAGTGTTGATGGGTACTATCCTTTGATTCGTAAAAACTCAAATAGTCACATGCTAGGTTTAGGGGTATACATACGCATTAATTCCCCTATTTGTCATGAAATCAGGTTCGAATCCTTTGACCATTCTTTTATGTGCTATCGCCTAGCACCTCTTCACTCTATCACCTTTCTCTTTGTTCTTTATCGTTCTCCTTCTTCCCATGATTGCATTCTCTTAGATGTTATCTCTGATCAAATTGACCATGCCCTCTCTCTTTACCCCTCTGCCAATATTGTTGTTGTTGGTGATTTTAATGCCCATCACACTGAATGGCTTGGCTCTAACACCACTGATCCTGCTGGCATTAAAGCCTTTAACTTCTGCGTTTCTCAATCTTATACTCAGATAGTTAACTTTGTGACTCGTTTTCCTGACAACCCTAATCATTTACCTTCACTCCTTGACTTATGTCTTGTCTCTGACCCTAGCTTATGTTCAGTTTCTCCCTTTTCTCCCTTAGGTGGTTCTGACCATGCAATGATCTCTATAAATCTTTCTTCTCGTACTTCTTTTTTGGGCTCACCTTATCATCGCACCACCTACTATTACCCTAAAGCTGACTGGGATTCCTTTCGTGATTTTCTTCATGATGGTCCTTGGGCTAATATTTTTTCTCTCTCAGCTGACAAATGCGCCTCCTACGTAACCTCCTGGATTCAGGCTGGAATGGAAGCTTTTATTCCTTCGCGTCGGTTTCAAGTCAAGCCTCATTCTACTCCATGGTTTTCTCCTTCTTGTGCGTCCAATCATAAATATTTTTTTCATCTTTTTCAAAAAAACAACTCTCTTGAGAACAAACGGCTATTTATTATTGCAAGAAATCAATGTAAAAAGGTGCTTTCTGATTCTATACTCCATTATTCTCAGTTCACTAAATCTTGCATCTTTTCGCACAAGGGTAGATCTAACATTCCATCTCTCATTCATAGGACTGATCTTATTACCTCTCCCAAGGATAAGGCAGAACTATTTGCAAAGAACTTTCCTTCTAATTCCACTCTTGAATCTTATGGACATTCTCTTCCTTCCATTCCAGTCAAACAGGTTGACCCATTGTTAGACATTCAAATCACTCCGGCTTCTGTTGCTAAAGTCATATCTCAATTAAACTCGTCTACAGCTTGTGGTCCAGACAACATTCCTGTCACAGTCTTGCAGAATTGTTCTCCAGAACTTTCTTCAATTCTCTCTAAACTATTTAACAAGTGTTGACTGGGTCTTGTTTTCCTGCTTGTTGGAAAATGGCATCTGTGGTTCCAATATTCAAAAACTCTGGAGAAAATTCTGACCCTTCCAATTATCGTCCGATCAGTCTTCTTTCTGTTATTAGCAAGGTCTTTGAGTCTTTAATCAACAAATTCCTCATATCTCATCTTGAGTCAAATAAACTACTGTCAGACAATCAATACGGTTTTAGATCCTCTCGCTTTACGATCGACTTGCTAACTGCTGTAACTGAAAGATTTTATTGTGCATTAGATGGAGGCGGTGAGGCTAGGGCGGTTGCTCTCGACATATCTAAAGCTTTCGACAAAGTTTGGCATGCTGGTCTTCTCCATAAGCTTGCTTCATATGGTGTTTCTGGAAAAGTTTTTGAGATTATCAAATCATTTCTTTCTAACCGGTTTATTAAAGTCATCCTTGAAGGCCAACACTCTTCTTTATTTCCATTAACTTCTGGGGTTTCCCAAGGTACCATCCTGGGCCCTGTTTTGTTTCTTATCTACATAAACGATCTTCCTGACAACCTTTCATCTAAAGTAGCTCTTTTTGCTGATGACTCAACTTTAAACTCCTGTCTTGACAAAAATTCTTCTCTTTTCGATCGCCTAGAACAAGCAGCTAATCTTGAATCCGATTTCACTTCAGTAATAGATTGGGGTTCACAGTGGCTTGTAAATTTCAACTCTAACAAAACCCAGTTGTTTACTGCAAACAACTACCGTAATATGGTCAACATTCCTATATTAATGAATGGCAATCCTCTTACTGAGTCCTCCTCTTTACGTCTTCTTGGATTATCGCTTACTACTGACCTTTCATGGAAACCATATATACAATCGATTGCTAAATTAGCTTCTGCTAAGGTTGCTTCTCTTTATCGTGCTTGCCATTTCCTTACTTCTGATTCCATTCACTACCTCTACAAATCTCTTATTCGTCCCTGTATGGAATACTGTTGTCATATTTGGGCTGGTTCTTCTAACGATTCACTTTCTCTTCTTGACAAGGTCCAAAAACGCATTGTAAATGTTGTTGGACCTGGACTATCTGCTAAGCTTGAACCTCTTTCCCATCATCGTAAAGTTGCATCTCTTTCTCTTTTCTACAAATACTATCATGGTCACTGCTCAAAGGAGTTATCATCTCTAGTTCCATCAACTAAAATTCATTCTCGTTTTACTCGTCATTCAGCTAAGTCTCATTCGTTTGCTGTATCTGTCTCTGCATGCTCTAAAAACTTTTATTCATCTAGTTTTTTTCCCCGCACTTCAATCCTTTGGAACTCTCTCCCATCTTCATGTTTTCCTGACTCATACAACCTTCAACTTTTCAAGTCTTCTGTCAACCGTTTCCTTGCTCTATAACTCTGTTCTTTTTTTTCCTAGTAACTCCCAACTTAATAGTGGTTGCTTGCAGCCTTGTTGGGAGTGAATATATATATACCGTATACCCTATCTATGGTATATATATATTAATACCGTAGATGGGGGTAACTAAAGCCTACGGGGAAACTAAAGCCATTTTAGCAGGTAATTTTTGGATGGTGATAGTAGCAGCACTGTTTGGATTCAACAGCTGATGTTGTGTTCTTCTAATAGGAACTTGGACTGCTTTCCAAATACTTGTCTGGATAATCAAAACAATATCACGGTAAGTGTACAGTAAAACTATATATTTAACCTAAAAAATTGATAAAAAAGTTACCTTGCATAACTTCTGCTCTGAATAAATCATTTTTAATCTTAAATTCTCATAACTCTCAACAAACATAACCTCAATTTATGTTTCATCACACCTTTAAAGGTTACAACCTATAACTTGATTCTTTTTTTTGTTGTGATATTTTTTTTTTCAGTGATACACAACATGGGGTAACTAAAGCCAAAAGTTTTAAAGACAAAAGTCTTTAAAATCTTTATAAAGACTATTTTTTTATTTATAAACTTTTTAGTCAAAAGTTTATCAGTGTAACTAGTATTAGAGTCAACCATTAATAACAATATTGGCATATGGATGAAGGTTTAGTCAATTTGATTAGAAACAATAAGTGTCTTGGAGTGCAGGACAAAGGAGTACAAAAATGAACATAGAAATAATTTGAAGAAACAAAATCACATCATAGAATAGTTAGAAGATTTAAACAAGATTTCACAACAAATAACTAAACTGATATATATATATGCCAAAATTTTAATTATTAGAGGTTTTGTGAATTAACATCTAAAAACCACCAATACTGAGATTCAAAAATGAATCATTCAAATTTAAATTCTTACATAGACCAGAACTGCTTGCTCTTAGATTTAAGATTGAGTTTGTGAAGTTTTTTTGGATATAAAATTACTTTTAAAATCTTTGTGAAAGGAAAAAATTAAAATAATTTTGTGGTAGTCTTAGTGGTAGTGTTTTTAATGTTTTATTTATGTAAAAAATTTAAAAACATTAAAAAAGGTAAAATGGTGAAATAATAAAAACATATTTATTTTTAAAAAAAAAGAAACAATAGAATATTTCTTTGTATTATGGCCATAATTTAGTTATTAACACATGCAATATAACTAGTATGTTTTCTGACAATTTATGCTTGAGTGCCAGATGTGTACTTGTACATTTTCTGAAGGTTGTTACTTAAACGCTTTTCCCGTACTAGTACAAGATAATGTAAGGTCATGGTTTGTTTTTTCTGTATTTCATCTGTATTTTAGTGTTTAAAAAAATCAATTTAAATTTAGAATTAACTTTTTATTTATCCTTGCGAAGCTGCTGCAAAATATATCCACAAGCAATTATTAAAGAGCACTTGATTCAAACATAAGCAGTACATGCTACCCTGAGCACTTGATTCAAACATAAGCAGTAAATGCTACCCTGAGCAATTGGTAATGGAATTGCGTTGTTTCTGCTAATTAATCAAAAGGAACTACCATTGGGTCTTAAAACCTTTAAACTTTTAAAGCTATATGTCATTAAGAAATAGTAGATAGTGCCAAATAGGTGCAAGCAAAAAGTTGAATAGATATAACCAAAGTGATACAAGCAAAAAAGCTTGAATTGAGTTAAGGAAATCCAGCATTTTATATCCTAGGCAGTAAACATTTTTAGAGTGTTTAGGTGTTTTTTATTTACAGTATTTAAACTTTATAAAACTGTGGTACTTTAGTTTATTACTTAGCAACTAGTTTTAATGTATTAAATTTATTTATTTTTAATTTAGATCAATTTTTACATATTCATTAAAACTCTACTAGTGGTTTCATCAAAATCAAAGAAACGTAGTTCAAATGCAGCTTTAATTTGGTTTGTATATTTATTTTTTATTATTAATTATTTTTTAAGTTTTCTTACAAAAGTTTATTTTACATCTCAAAATAAAAAAATCTTGTTTATTTTAAAATATTGTTCCATTATTCTATAATGTTTCTAGACCTCAATTTAATTTTTAAAAAAATGTCACATTATTCCTTTTTTTTCTATTGAAAATGTCACATTATTCCTCTTTTTTTAAATCCTGAAAAATTGTTGCATTAAAGTTTGATTTTTGTAAAATTTTCTAATAAATTTTACAAAAAATCAAAAACTCAACATTGCAGTTACAGTAAGCCATGATTTTTTTAAAGAGTGCTGCAATCATTTTAAGACAATTTTAAGAGATAAAGTAGATTTTTATTCAGAAGCAAAGACAACTTTGGTTTTAAAAGATTGTTTTTTAGTTTATAACTACTACCATTATTTTTTTTAAATATTCTTTATAGGTTTTGGATTAAAAGTACATCTTTAGTGCTTTGCATTCTTGGAATTACTTGGATAGTTGGTGTATTCTATATTGATTCAGATACCCTTTTTTTTGGTTATATATTTACAGTTGTGAACAGTCTGCAGGGCTTTTCTATTTTTGTTTTCCACTGCTTGGTAGATGCTAAAGTAAGTTAATTTTTTTATTTATTATTAAAAGTTTATTTTTTGCTAAATTTTACTCTATTTTTTTGTCTCTTAATAAAAAGAAATTTTGAAGATTTTCTTTGAAGAAACAAAAATTTGTAGAATGTGCTGTAATTCTACATACAATATTTACTTTATAAAGTAAATATGTATACACACATATTTGTGTCTATAATTATATTTATAACGCCATCCTAATTATAATTTTCAGTCTAAGCATTCTGATTAGGTCAAATTCTGGTCAGTGTATTTGTATTCAATAGTATACAATTTTACAGTGTATAATGTATAAACAATGTTGATCACATTGTTTTGATCTGTTTTTATGATTTGATTATTATAAAGGAATCATAACTTTGTGACAACAAATTTGGAACTTTTCTTATCTTGCACTACATGATGAGAAAAGTTTTACTCTGTTTAATAACTTATCTTGCACTACATGATGAGAAAAGTTTTACTCTGTTTAATAACTTATCTTGCACTACATGATGAGAAAAGTTTTACTCTGTTTAATAACTTATCTTGCACTACATGATGAGAAAAGTTTTACTCTGTTTAATAACTTATCTTGCACTACATGATGAGAAAAGTTTTACTCTGTTTAATAACTTATCTTGCACTACATGATGAGAAAAGTTTTACTCTGTTTAATAACTTAAAATAATCACAATAACTAGTTATAATATTATATAACAAACTTTGATATAATTGTTAAAAAGCTTTTTTACATTTTTTTATTTTTCTTGTTCATGAATCGCAACAACTACTTAAAATGCCAACAGGTAAATGATATCTAAGATAACTTTCTTTTTAGCAAATTAGTTATTCACAGATATAAAAAAAGAGTTTTAGTATGTTTTTAATCACCAAAAAAAGTTTTTTCCAAATTGTATACTATCGATTTCCATAGTGAAAAGATTTTTTTTTCAAGTTGTACCTAAAAGTGAAAAAAGTTTTACTTCTACAAAAAAATTTTTTTTTTTTTGTTTATTCAATACACCGTTTCACAAAAGTGAAAAAAAAAAAAAAAAAAGTTAGATTTATCCTTTTTTGTTCTGCCAACTTTTTATATAAGTACAGAAATAATTTTTTATTTTTAAATATTATTCTGTTAAATACTATTAGTCTGTTGCAGGAAATACTATTAGTCTGTTCTCGATATTTAATTACTAAATATGTTATACACATTTAATGATTAAATATTGAGAAGAGTATTTTGAAGAGACTTAATCCTAAAAATAAACAGATTTAAAATTAAGACGCCGTCCATAAACAATTTCATGCAATTTATTGCAATTTTTGACCACCTTCCTTCCTCTTGTCACAAGGCATCACAAAAGTTTAGACTCTCCTTAGAATATTATGTCACAAAGTGATGACTCCCTCCTTTCCCTCCTCTTGGATAAATGTTGCATTATTTCAATAGTTGATTAAATAAATAAAAAATTTCAAAATTATTGTCATGTTTAATGGAAAACTTACAATGGCCAGCAATGATAAAGGAAGTTTATTATCTTTATTTTCGTTAAATTATTATTATTAATTGTTCACGAGTGGTTTATAAAATTGCATTTTATAATCATAAAGATGTAATATTTTCAAAATGTTCGATGGTAGTTTATTATAGTTAAATATAATAGTAATTGAAACTTTTTTATATTACTACTATAAAGTAACTAATATCTCGCAGCTATTCCGCATTCTAAATGAAATAATTGAATAAAATGAACCTTAAAATGAATTTAATAATTAAATACAAGTTTAAATATTTATAACAAATAAAACATGAAATTTTGCTGAAATTAAAATATTAGCAAAAAATATTTTCCCATGGTGAATAAAAAAGTTCCTTTTTGGAATAAACTGGAAGGGCGTTGACACCAGTATCCTAGGGAAAAACATTGATGGACAGTACAATTGGTATGGAATTCATATGGACCAATACGGATTTGAAGAGCGGGTAAGGTGTTGTCACCTTTTACATTTTGTGCTGCAAACAGAGATAGAAATTGATGGCATGCTGGGTCCGTTGTTCGTTGTGGAATTTTAGGACCTTCGCTTGTTTGAACAACTTGAAGAAATCTGTTTTTTATCACAATGGAATAGGAACTTCTTGGTTTCAAACAACACTTATTATCATTTTGTTTTATGTAAGATATTGGTTCGTATGTGACATTTCTTATCCTTTGACAAGAGGAGTTGTTCTTGTAACTCAGACTCTGTGGGCTCAATGTACTCTGCCACTAATGGAAAATTATTATTAAATTAAAATTATTGACAATCAAATTTGACCAAATTTCAGCAAAAGTGGTCCCTGAATTGACATCAATTATAACATCTCTCTTGTTCAGATGGCTATGTGGTGCCATTTTCCCTTTAACTTTTAAATGCACTTCTTCAAGGAGCGTATGTAGCAAGAAATAAAGCATCAAAATCATGCTGGTGTACTGCAACCTATATTACTTTTTGGTATCTTGGGTTCTCATCAAGGCCACCATAAACTATCAAAACTAATATTCTTTTAACCAAACAATCAATACCACTTCTGGTAATGATTTCAAACTCCTTGAGTGTAATATTCTTTGGAAATCAATTCCACAGCTGAATGCTGTTGATTTTGAGTGTTTTTTTGATCTGACTTCTATATAGATTGGTCCGGAATATCCTTCTGCTTTTCGGTTTTAAAGACCATTAGACTTAATTGAGATTTCAGCATTCACCGAAGGAGTTAATTTGTGTTCTGCAGCCATCACCCAATCATAGTCAGGTAAGCTGGCTCTCTACTCAATGTGCATAAGTAATGGACTTTATTTTTGGCAGCAGTCAACCCAATTGGTACAAAGCTTTGTCATATTGACTCAAAAATACACTTCATTCATTTCTAACATGGGCGCTAACTCTTCTAAGTGCCTTATTGTTGCAGTACAAAATAAGCCATTGATATGTTTAGCGAGTTCATCATTATGTGCTCTAATTAATTTTAATGGTACCGTCAATACATGAGGCTGGCGTTCAAGAAACGAATTGCACTTTGGTAAGAAACGAAGGTAAAGCTCACTTCTACTGATTGTAAAGCCATTCATTTTCAACTGTTCAGCCAGTTGGTCTAACGTTTTAATGCTTCTATATACATCAATATTTCGTTTTTCATGAGATGCTGATCCATGCATAACAATATTCACAATAGTTTTAATAAGTAAAGGCTGATTTTGTTTGAATCTTGGTTATTCAGGCTTGTCTTTGACATTCAGAGTTATGCGCAATTCTTCAAACAAAGAAATTTTCTTTTCTCTTTTTACTCTTTTCTGATTAGCTCTTTATTTAACTGCTAAATTGTTTTTTTTTTTTCTGTTTCTTTTCTTTTAATTCATCATCTTGTTTATATAAAAACCATTTCACGTTTTTGTCACTTGCATAAACCGACTAAATCAGAACTCAGAATTTCATTCTGTGTCTGCAATTGCAGTTGGGGTGGGGCAATTCTATATTTCTGATTCATCACTAACAATATCGGTATCTTTTATCAAACTGCAAATTTGAAGTCTGAAGATTTTTGTTATGCACATTTATAATTAAAGGTTTATTATTAGATAACATTTGTTCAGCCCGAAATGTTAGGAGTGTTGTCGAAAGAGCATTTAGTTTTTGTAAATACAAAAAAATAATTTTTATATTCAATTTGCTATGTTATTTTGTTTTATGGTAAAATGTGAACATTTCTATGCGTAAATTTTTGTCACTATTTAACGCGTAAGTGCGTTAAATCTAATAAAAGAACTCATTGCATCATTTCAAATTGTGTGTGAGAGAGCGAGAGAAAAATAAAAACTTTTTTACGGTACTTAAGTACCGTTAAAAAGTTGTTTTTTCTCATCTAACTAAATTTGAAATTGAAAATATAAATGATTTGCGAGTAACTATGAAAATGAAGAAATCTATTTATAGTTAATAGAAACTGTCCTGGTTAAAAATATAAGATGGTTTCTATACATGGCAAAACTTTGACTCTGACTATCCAGTTAATGAGACCATAAAAATCTGGGAACTTTTTAGGATTAAATCTGTTTGCTTTTGGGATTAGGGGTTGTCCATAAACGACGTCGCGCATCTAGGGAAGGAAGGGGGTCCAGACATTTGTGACAATCTGTGACAAGGAGGAGGGAGGGGGTTGGCGAAATGTGATGTCACAAAAAATATTTTATATAATAAAATTTGTTTTAATATTTTATATAAATAAATAAAAGGTTAGATAAGAAAAAACAACTTTTTACGGTACTTAAGTACCGTAAAAAAGTTTTATGTTTTATGTCGTTTTATGGACAACCCCTAATCCCAAAAGCAAACAGATTTAATCCCAAAAAGTTCCCAGATTTTTATGGTCTCATTAACTGGATAGTCAGAGTCAAAGTTTTGCCATGTATAGAAACCATCTTATATTTTTAACCAGGACAGTTTCTATTAACTATAAATAGATTTCTTCATTTTCATAGTTACTCGCAAATCATTTATATTTTCAATTTCAAATTTAGTTAGATGAGAAAAAACAACTTTTTAACTGTACTTAAGTACCGTAAAAAAGTTTTTTTTTCTCTCTCTCTCACACACACAATTTGAAATGATGCAATGAGTTCTTTTATTAGATTTAACGCACTTACGCGTTAAATAGTGACAAAAATTTACGCATAGAAATGTTAACATTTTACCATAAAACAAAATAACATAGCAAATTGAATATAAAAATTATTTTTTTGTATTTACAAAAACTAAATGCTCTTTCGACAACACTCCTAACATTTCGGGCTGAACAAATGTTATCTAATAATAAACCTTTAATTATAAATGTTCATAACAAAAATCTTCAGACTTCAAATTTGCAGTTTGATAAAAGATAGATAAAAGTGTGTTCTTAAGTAAATTGTACAAAGTATCTTAAAATTTAGATGTTTTAAGATATGGTTGACCCAAGTTTGGTTGTAATGTTGTTTTTTGTTTCTAGAACGTCATAGATGACCCCATAACTATAGTTTCTTTATTAAATCTTGTAATATATGGTATTATTAAAATGCATTAGGCATAATTGTGCATTGCATATAAGTAAATAATACTAATAAATTAAAAATGTATTCAAGGTTCGTTCAGCTTGGAGAGATTTATTCGGATTAGAAAAAACCTATCCATTTTTATCAAGAAGTAATCCCACTGCAGTATCTCCAAATCAAAAATATTCAATTTTCCTTAGGAAAAAACGGGTAAATGTTTTCTATTAGTTTTCTTTTATTATATTATTATTATGTTATATTACTATTATTTTTATCTTTTTTTTTATTTCTATTGAAATCTATTCTAATTGTTTGTTTTTCAATAACAGAAGTTTTCGTAATAAGTTTTCATAAAACTTTATTTTTTATCATGGTACTTCAGTTGCCACGGTAACATAATTCATGTACATGTATATTAGTGTGGACTAATATTAAGGAATGTGCATCAAATTTTTTACATAGTCATCACCATGGTTTCTGTAAAATTTAGCTATATTGACTATTAAATTTTATTTTTTATCATGGTACTTCAGTTGCCACGGTAACATAATTCATGTACATGTATATTAGTGTGGACTAATATTAAGGAATGTGCATTATAAACTAGACACTAAATAATCGGTCTCGAGTCTCGATTTATCGTCTGGTTTTAGTGCGATACTATACAGTATCGGTATCGAAATCACGCGATTCTGGTATCGAAAGTATCGCTAATGTTGGTATCGTTTGGTATCGATACGATATTTTACAGTATCGCCATTGAGATCACGCGATAATGGTACCGAAAGTATCGGTTATGTTGGTATCGTTTGGTCTCGATGCGATATCTTACAGTATCGATATCGAGATCACACGGTACTAGTATCAAAAGTTATCGCATTCGTTGGTATTGTTTTGTACAGTATAAAGGATGAGGACAATTTTTTCAATTTTTTCTATCGTGATTAAAAGGAAAGATTTTGTTTAATATTTATTTTTATATTAAATTATTACAAATAATTAAATTATGTTAAACAGTGTTTAAGGGGCGGAAAAAAAAGAAAAGAAGGGTGGTATTCGGGATACTACCCTCCCCCCTACCTAGAAAATGTCAAACTTTAAAATATTGTGATGCAATCGTTAATGATTTTTCTAAAAGAGTATGAGAAATTATTATTTAAAGGGAATTGATTTCGCAACAGTCGTTACAGTTATTTAAATTTAATTACTTGTGTGATATCGCATCCATATTTTAATTTCTCATCTGATATCGTTATTTTAATTAAATCTCTCATGGTATCGTAATTCTCGCCTGGTCTTTTGTTCTGTGTTCAACATTTAACAACTAAACTTTAGTTTTAATTAATCATAAGTATACTTTAGTTATTAAAGAAAACTAATCTTCAAATTGCCGGGAAATAATCCTGAGATTCATTACCGGCAGAATTAGTTTTATATATAACAACTTAACTCTATATCGTAGTAGTTTGCGTGGTCAACCGGATAAAGTTATGGCCAGCGATTGCGGAGATCTAGGTTCAAATATCTCCGAAGGAATTAATTTTTTTAGTTTTTGTTAATTAAAAATGCAGTTTATTTTTTACGTTTTTACGTTATAACTATTAATGTCTATTAATTATTAAGATTTAAAAAAATTTGATTTATTTGGCGGAGCAATAATTCATAAATCGACTGATTTTTAGGGGGAACGCTTAAAGCACAGAGTGCTAAATTGACCGCCAGGTTATATGTCTGCCCACTTTGAATTTTTTTTGTTTCATATATAGATATCTACTAATTGTAAAGAACAAAAAAATTAAATTCACGTCAATCAAATGGTCTTTTTTTGGTAATAATATTTTTGAAATTGTTTAACTCATATGATATTGTTTAGATGTAAAACTCACAGTAAATGCCCCCAAAATTATTAAAATATTAATAGAAGAAAATCCTAAAAAACCAGCGGAAGTACAGCATTGTAAATTGTTAAAAAAACAAGAACTAAATCTCTAAAAAGCATTTGTACTTTTATTTTGTTAATAAATAATTCAATAAGTCACATTTTAATTTTTGTTTTTGTCTTTTTGAGTCTCGACTCGAGACTATGCGATACTATACGATTCTTTTTATTATCGGTATTGTTTGGTATCGAAGTGATACTGATAGTATCGACATCGATGCATAAGCGATACTATATGATACGAGACCATCCTTCTCAGTATCGAGTGGTATCGAACCGATACTGATAGTATCAACATTGGTACATAAGCGATACCACGCGATACGAGACCATTCTTCTCGGTATCGACTTATACGATACCGATTATCTAGCGTCTATTATAAACAAATGTTAAAAGCAATATTTTTTAAGCAGTTTATACATTTTTAAAAACATATTATTACTGACGCGCAGTTAGTGAATGCCTAACTGCATTCACTAACTGCGCGTAATTTAAATAAAAATATATATATATATTTTATTACTGGTATTTGATTAAATTCATGGGGTCGCTATGAATTTAGTGTTTGCTTAAATTTGATGAGAGTTTGCATATTTATGGTTTTATTTTGTTTATTGATACAAAATAAAAAGTTTTTGTACTTTTATCTCAACACAAATAATTTTTGTATGATAATCAGTACAAAATAATGAAAATTTTTACGCAAATAATTTTTGTATGATAATCAGTACAAAATAATGAAAATTTTTACGCAAATAATTTTTGTATGATAATCAGTACAAAATAATGAAAATTTTTACGCAAATAATTTTTGTATGATAATCAGTACAAAATAATGAAAATTTTTACGCAAATAATTTTTGTATGATAATCAGTACAAAATAATGAAAATTTTTACGCAAATAATTTTTGTATGATAATCAGTACAAAATAATGAAAATTTTTACGCAAATAATTTTTGTATGATAATCAGTACAAAATAATGAAAATTTTTACGCAAATAATTTTTGTATGATAATCAGTACAAAATAATGAAAATTTTTACGCAAATAATTTTTGTATGATAATCAGTACAAAATAATGAAAATTTTTACGCAAATAATTTTTGTATGATAATCAGTACAAAATAATGAAAATTTTTACGCAAATAATTTTTGTATGATAATCAGTACAAAATAATGAAAATTTTTACGCAAATAATTTTTGTATGATAATCAGTACAAAATAATGAAAATTTTTACGCAAATAATTTTTGTATGATAATCAGTACAAAATAATGAAAATTTTTACGCAAATAATTTTTGTATGATAATCAGTACAAAATAATGAAAATTTTTACGCAAATAATTTTTGTATGATAATCAGTACAAAATAATGAAAATTTTTACGCAAATAATTTTTGTATGATAATCAGTACAAAATAATGAAAATTTTTACGCAAATAATTTTTGTATGATAATCAGTACAAAATAATGAAAATTTTTACGCAAATAATTTTTGTATGATAATCAGTACAAAATAATGAAAATTTTTACGCAAATAATTTTTGTATGATAATCAGTACAAAATAATGAAAATTTTTACGCAAATAATTTTTGTATGATAATCAGTACAAAATAATGAAAATTTTTACGCAAATAATTTTTGTATGATAATCAGTACAAAATAATGAAAATTTTTACGCAAATAATTTTTGTATGATAATCAGTACAAAATAATGAAAATTTTTACGCAAATAATTTTTGTATGATAATCAGTACAAAATAATGAAAATTTTTACGCAAATAATTTTTGTATGATAATCAGTACAAAATAATAAAAATTTTTACGCAAATAATTTTTGTTTATTTTGCAGATGAGCACAAATTGCTGAAAATGATCAAACTAAAGAACGTTAACATATCTTTAAAGAGTAAAATGAGGAACAAAAAAAGGGCTGGTAACAAAAATGCGAAAACGAACAAGTAAAGAAATTACCAAAATTTATTGAATATTTCAATCATTAAATAAAATTTTCATTTTTAACGAAGTTGTGCAAATAAAAATCGTTTAAACAAAGTTTTTTTATTACCGAAAATCTGTGGCGTAACTATCAAATATAAAATATACAATACTTTCTTTTTATTTATAGTTGATTGGTTAAACCTACTGCCAAATGATACTTTCATAAAATTCTCAAAATGGTTCTTAATCTCTGTTTGACAAGGTTGAGTGTCCTGTTTATGAATAATGCGAACGCATCGAAGAAGTAATATTAGTTGGTCCTTTTTAGATACGTCTTGAGTTGTGTATTTCTAAATTTTAGCTTTAAACAATGAATCAAATTTTTTATGGATAGCTGGGCTAAGACATTTTTATTGTGATTTTGGGCTTGTTGAGTACTTGTTTTATTATGTCGTCTTAGTTTGATAGCAAATAATTATGAGACTAAAAATTGTCATTGTAAACTGCATCTCCTAACATTTTGCTATGACCTCTAAATGCAAATTTTTTTTTTTTGTCAACATTAAAGTGATCTTTCTATTAAAATCTTCCAAAATAAAGTTTTACAAGGAACTAATTTTTTCTGTACCTTTATCAATTTTTTCTGTACCTTCATCAAGTGACTTGTTTTGTTTCTAAAAATTGAATACACTAGACATCAGGACCTTTGAGAGGTTGTCCAATGCCTCTTCAAGCTTAGAGCCAGGGTAAATTGACCTGGGCTCCAAGTTTGAAGGGGCGCCGGATAACGTTTAGAAATTTTTTTTTAACAGTAATTTATTGTAATAAAAAATATTTTAATAACTTACTAAAAGAAATCAAAATTTTTTTGTATTTAAGCTTTAAAATTTAGTATTCGGAATAAAAATGGACGAATTGTAAAAATATCATAAAGTATTAACTAGATGATAACGACTAAATAACAACAATGATGGCATTAGAATCCATGTAATGAGCGAAAAAATATGTCTCATTGTTTTCTCAACCGCGTTGCATTGGTTTAACAAAGTTTTAACTAATCCGTGAGTAGTTTTGAGTAAATCAATGTCAAAATTGTCATGTTCCTACCATAAAAATTTGTTAGTGTCAATTAATAATATTTTTCACCCATGATAACATAAACATTTGTCTTTACTATCACTGTTTGTTACTAAAAAATGTTTCACTCTTCATTGAAAAATAAATACCCCAAAAATGCAGTTAGAACCTTGTTATAGTCATATCTTCACTATGGCAAGGTTCTAACTGCGGTTATAACAGTAGTTAAAAACATTTTAGCTACTTTAAAATTTTGTAATTTAAGTAGTTAACTACTTTTAAACTTTGTAACTAAAACAATAGTATAATAAACGGTAATTGCCATATTATCTAACAAGATTCTAACGTTATATTATATTTAGTAACCATTACATTATGGCTTAAAAGCTTTTTATCGCATCCTTCATTTTATTGGTGAAAAACCACTTGTTAGTAATCTCAGTCCTGGAGAAGCACAAAAGAAAATACAGCTTTAAATTGATCAAGTTTAAACCATTGGTTTAACATTCAAAACTCTAGAAGTTGATGGGCTAATGTCAGTTCTTTTTCTGCTAGGTTATTTCATTAAATATGACATTAGCACAAGTCATAGGTTCTTTTCAATCATGGATAATTTTAGAACAGCAATTTTAGAAAATATGGAACTTGTAGTTAGCTATGCTGTTAAACTATAGTCCCTAAAGTTTTGTGGATTTATTTCAATAAGATGTTAAGAATAGTAAGGATTTTTTCCATTAACTTGTTTTAGGATCCTTATCAATCCAAGTGGACTATAAAAGCCAGATATCCCTAGTGAACTTTTCAATTTAATTATACGCATGATTCACTTACTGCAAACACAAATGACTTGGAAGAAAGTATTTTGTAGTAACAAAAATGTTTATAATAACATAAACGACTAGGAATTTGTAATATAACACTATTTGATATTATACTGGTCCGATTTTGAGGGTCGCAGCAGTCAAACAAATAACTAAGTTGCTCATGTCGCTTTTTATCTGCCACAACATCT